GGATTGATTTTGAACTTTTTTGGAATTCCTGATACCGTTTCACTAACCAGTCACCTTGTTCTTTTTTATGATAACCTGATAAGAAGAACCTAAAGTGAGAAGATGTTTCTTTGTTTACTATAATGGAAAAGTCTAAAAATAACCATCTGATGACACCAGAATTATCTTCAGACATGAAACTTTTCATTCAGCTGCTTTTTCCACCATTTTTAAGTTAAATCATTTGTTGTTGTTTTTTTTTGTGTGATTTTTTTTTTTTTTTGTTTGGTTTTGCATCATTTTTCATTCATTTCCTTTCCTCCTCATGTAAAAGACTGAAACCGTTACCACGACAACCTCTTCCCTTAAAAGACCCTCTGTTGTCGCCAAGAGCAACAAAACCGGTGCTTCCTGCCGAAACGGCCACAGCTCCATCCCCATTAAAGCCAGCAGCAGCAGCAGCCCGGGGCCCAGGCAGCCCGGAGTAAGTACCGGTCCGAGAGACACGGGTCGGACCGTGGGTCGGACCGCGGGTCTGAACCGGGCGGGCTGATGCTCCGTCTCCCATTAAATAATCCTCCCGCCTGAAGGTCTCCCATCATCATTCTCTCATCTCCTCTTATTGTTTTAGATGTTTTAAACACATTTTCCAAACAACTTTCCTTAAAGCAGATGAGTGTTTTTAGAAGAAGTCCTTCACCTTCTGTCATCGCTGAGGTCTAAGCTGCCATGTTTCTGATTTTCAGGTTTCTGCTGCTGCCAAGCCTCAAGTCCAAGGAGCCAAACCTGCTGCCAGGAGTGCAGCTAATCCAGGTAGCAAACCCAAACAACCCGCCTCCATTTTATAGCATTCTAAAGATTTTAAGGTTTCTTATTATTTGTAACCCAGCTAGTGCCAAGAAACCCCCCCCTCCAAAAAATGACAGAGGTAACCGGAATGAGCAGATGGTTGTAGACGGCCGCCATCTTTGCATGGCCCAAATAAACCAACGTTTCTAGTCAGCCTTTAACCACTAACCTCAGCTCTGCTTTTAATCCTAACGATGGTTTCATTAATCCGTCTGTCTGCTTGTGGAAGATGCCAGAAGCGGGCAGAGCAGCCCCGGGACGCCCAAGTCCCCCGGCAGCCAGGCGCTCTCTGCCGCCGAGGCCAAAGTGAAAAAGGTGGCCGTGGTGCGTTCCAACCCCAAATCTCCGGGATCGCTGAAGAGCCGTTCTCCGGCTCCTCTGGCCGCCGCCGCCCCGCTGCCCGACCTGAAGAACGTCAGGTCAAAGATCGGCTCCACGGAGAACATCAAGCACCAGCCTGGAGGCGGAAAGGTGAGCAGCAGCAGCTTTTCTCTACCAGAACGGCTTAACGGGATTTTTTTCTTTGTTCACTTTCTCAGGTCAGTAGAATAACTTCCCTCAACTTGAAGTCGTCTCCTGTTTTCTCATTATTTGGTAGATTGTCTTTAATCTGCACATATTGGATCGGATGTTTTGGGTTTTCTGATCAGCTCTGCCCTGAACTTTGACCTTTTGCTTCTTCAGACACGTTACAGCTAATTTTCTTACGTTTATCGTCCATCTAAGGTCTTAAAAATGTTCCTTCCAACATTTAGATTAAAGGTAATTTCCTCACAGAGTCACCAGTCCCTCAACCTCATGCTTCCGCCTCCGTGCTTCACAGTTCAGACCCTGTTCTCAGGTTTCACTCTATTTCTCCAGATCTATGGACGGCCACCGGATCCCGTTTAACTTTAGCCTCATCAAGCCTCCAGAAAATAACCACCTGAGAGGATTTGCAAACTACAGTCTGTTGTTTTAGGGAAGACTTTTCTTTATCCTCTCTGAGCCGCCTGTCAGCACATGTTTAATAATTAAGATAGAAAATGAATAGATTGTTTTAAAGAAATATATATATATATGCTGGTATTAAGCTAATAAATTTATTTGCTCAATAATTTTGGATGAACTAAAGCGAGGAAGGTTCAATCAGATGATATAGATGTTAGATTTCAGCTGTATCTCATCCCAGCTCTGATGTTGCTGCTGGTTTCCTGGGTATTGCTTTTGTTTTTTAAAGGAAAAGTCCATCAGCAGGAAGAATCAATGGATCATTATTTATACCTAAAACTAATACGATTGCAGCGATATAATGAATCGATTGCAGCGATATAATGAATTTAGCGTTAATCAGGCAGCACAAATCAGGCTTCGATAAAAATGTAAAAACATAAGAAGGTCAGAGGGGTAAAGGAAGCGCTCTAATGAGGGATCAGCAGAAAAACATCTCGAATGAGAAAAGTCACCAGATAGAGATTTCAAAGATGGATTTATATTAACTTTAATAATCAATGTTGTTGTTTTATTAATCATTTTTGAAGGTTTTGAGCTTTAAAACCGTCTTAAAAGTGGGATTACAAATCTGTGTTCTTCCCTTTTCTCAGTTTAATCCTGATTACAGTGTGAACGTCTGAGGATGTTTCTTTATGTTGATGCAGATTAATGCAGATTAATTTTAGAAACAGGTCTTTGGTCTAATTTTATGCCTGCTGACATACTTACTGTTATAATTTAAAAAAGATCACCTTCTCTAATATTCAGGAACCAGAATAGATAAATTTATTAAACTATAGAGGAGTTTTAAATGGTTTTTGGTCCTGATCACCTGCAGGGCGTCCCACAGATCTCCGTCTAATGGCCGTTTCCTCCTCCACAGCTCAACACATGCCTCCGTTTCCTTTGCTCTTCGCCTAAAAGCTGCCGTTTTCATTTTTCCAGGTCCAAATCCTGGATCAGAAGTTGGACTTTAGTAATGTGCAGTCTAAGTGTGGCTCCAAAGACAATGTCAAACACAAGCCAGGGGGAGGAAATGTGAGTAACTGGAAGATGAACTCAGAAGCTCTGGAGTTTGTCTGCAGTTATTACAATTAAATCCAACCTTTGAACAACTGAATAAGATAAAAGACCAGAAGAACAAATGAACTCCTGACCCTTCGGGAACCGGACGCTAATATTTAACCTTTAACCTAAAGAAGAAAGAAAAACGTCAGTTTTTAGGATTCAGTTCATTTGTTTGCATGTTTGAATCGTTGCTATAAATAACCTCAGATAAAATGAAAATCAAGTTTTAAAACAGCTTTTTTTTAACACTTTTTGTTCACTAAATGAGTCTTTTTCACATTTTCTATTCTATTCAGTTTATTTCTATAGCTCCAATTCACATCATGTCATCTCAGGTCACTTTCCAGTTCACCAGATCATCCAGTCAGATTGATTCAAAGTTTTCTATCTAAGGAAAACCAGCTGATTGCATCGACTCATTGACTCTTCAGCAATCCCTCACACTAAGCATGCTTGTAGCGACAGTGGAGAGGAAAAACTCCCTTTGAACAGGAAGAAACCTCCAGCAGAACCAGGCTCAGTGTGAGCGGCCATCTGCTGAGGCCCACTGGGGTTCAAGGAGACAGAAGCAGACACAGAAAAAGAAGCATAGATGCAAAAGGCAAATAACTGCTTATGAATCAGAAGTGGAAACAAATCATCAAACAAATCTCGTTACCTAAAAGTTAAACAGGATTATTAACAGAATCACACACAGGCCGCCATGACTTATAAATCCTCTCCTGCTGTTGTGATATTGAAGGATGGAATCAGTTTTAACACCAATCATCTCGTTATAACGAGATTATGTCTTTTTTATCTTTAGATAATGAGAAAATAAACTTTTTTTCTCAAGAAAACCACCGTGAAAAAGTATCAAAGTGACATGACCGCTTTGGGCTTCCGTAGTTTTAATACAAAGAGTCAACTAACCTTATATCCTTATTTATCTTCCTTCCTCGTCGCGTTCAGCTTTCCTCTCTGCAGATCCTCTTATACTCTTTGCTTTGTTTGTTTTTTCCATTGTCCAGGTCCAAATCCTGGATAAGAAGCTGGACTTATCCAATGTTCAAGCTCGCTGTGGTTCTAAAGACAACCTGAAGCACCGACCCGGGGGAGGAAAGGTGAGAAATCTGCTTTGCTTTCAGATCACTGCTCCTTTAGAAGGTTTAGAAGTTTAAAGCATCCATAGTTCACCTTTAGGGACATGTTTGCATCCAAATAACGATGTTCAGTTGTTGTTTAGTAGCTGAACAGACGGCTGCTGCTCTCAGTGATTTACCTCCCTTCACTTCTGCACTTTTCCAGGTTAAAATAGTTGAACAGAAGTTGGACTTTAGAACTGTCCAGTCTAAGTGTGGCTCCAAAGACAATATAAAACATAAACCCGGTGGAGGAAATGTGAGTAATGTGAGGATGAACCCAGCACCATCTTTTCTTCTCCAACATCCACAAATCTTCAGAGGTTTTCAAAGTCAGAAGGTTTAAAAAGGTCTGCAGCGTCCTGCAGCGTCCTGCAGCGTCCTGCAGCGTCCTGCAGCCCTGAAACCAACAAACGCTTTTTAATTCAAACAGAAAGAAACACGTTTCTGTGTGACGCTTAGAAATAGTTTACTAACTCTAATCTGTTTGCTGTGATGATGGCTGCAGGGGGGGGGGGCTGGTTAACCCATCTCTCTAAAAAACCATCAGGTGTGAATCTCTGTCCTGCCCTGTGATTGGTTGCAGTCTTGGGGACAGACGGCATTAGACTCCGCCCACTGGTGTGTGACGCCAGGAAGACGTTTATTCAGCTCCACTACGTCTCTAACCTGAAATCTGTGCTTTTTAGACTTAGACAGATTTTATTTGTCATTTTGTTTACACAAGTGTCAAACAAAAAGAAATTTCGTTTGGAAACAGCTTTCTGGATAAATGCATCTTTTGTCAGAGAAGACTTATTAGTGGGTGAATCGTTTTTCGTTATTCCTTTAAAACCGAAATATTTTATGCAGAAAATTCACTGGAAACTTAGAGAACATTTGGCTCATTGAACAGGATGATAATCTGTGGTTTTTATGTTCATCCCAGCCCACAGTCCTAAAACAGTTTAACTCTAAGGTTGGAGATTCAAATTAGTTTAGGTTAACCCAACTTTTAGCCACCAGGGGGCACTAGACCTGTAATTTATCCCCCTATTGGCCAGTGGTGGTACTAGAGTGTGGCTAAATGAACCTAGCCTGGTGAGACCATCCTGATCTCGCGAGCTTTCAAGGTTTCACTCGCAGATCAGTCTGGAGACTCTC